ATGTTCTCTCTGTTTGTATTGACAATGCAAGCTTGGCTCCTCATTTTTTCAATTGTTCAGTTTTTTTATTTTCGGCCGCCTTCAGGTCGATGGGAACGCTTTCGCTTATCACAGCTATAGTTATGCCTGTTACGGTGTACGAAATGCCGACGCTACCCTCTCAAAGATGCTTTGCGGTATTCTTTGGCCAGTACCATTTGCCTGTTATTCTTCTTAAGTGTGTTCGCTCTTAGTTTGGCTCTGTACAGTAAGAAGAGTTGAGAGTTGTCGCCATCATACACTTCCTTCTATCTTGAGTCGATCCTCCTACGTTCACTAGGCTGAGAAGTGACTTTGTAGGCTTTAACTGCAGTCTGTTGGACTGCTGGACTGCGAGCCCAGTAGCAGAGTCTAGGGTTCAGACTTACACCCAAATAGTTAACAACTTTTCTTGGCCTCAGCGCCTCATATTCACTTCCAAGATGTCAATCGTCTCTAGTTCAACTGCTTAGATAAGCACTAAAGGTCATCGACATCAACATTCAGACTTCAGGCACGTAAAATTCATGGTTCTATGGCTCATGATTCCCCACTGACTGTAACATTATGAGCGCCTTCACTTTTGAAGAAATATGAACCAAATATTCCCACTGCCCATAGAACACGCCAAACATTGACTTGTATGAGTATATAACGGCATCTTAACAATGGCTTGTAGATAATCATCACTCCAAGTGCGATATTTTTATATACTAACGTACCTAGTCAACCAGTAGACAGCTTAAGAGCTCAACAAAATATGCTTATGAAAACCCGGTTCGGTGACCATTTCGTTTTTAATCCCATAACCGATCGTATTAATGATCATTCAGCTTCAATTCGCAGATGAGTTCGATTAAGTAAGCTCGAAAACGCAAAAACATACGCAAAAACTTCTATACATGTTTGGGTACACCTCCAATTGTTGCATGCTATGGCAAATGGTTTCATACGGATCATCTTCGATACTCTCCTCCAAAGCAGCTATAACGCCTGGCGAGCGCGCTGTATGAGGATGCGCATTATTCACTAGAGAAAACGTGGTGCGAAACCGATACTTGGTTGCTTGAGTTAACGTTTCTGTTAAGCAATTATGTCGACAGAATATGGGGCCCAACCGTTGTTCCGTAGTAAGTCTCTTCATTATGAAATGACAAGCCAAACTGAGCTTAAATCAAGTAACAGCTGTCAAAAGAGACCAGCTCCGTATAAAGTATTGCCTCACTCAAAGCCACGCGTCTAAAAAAAAATACACTCTATATTAATACTAAATATTTTGTTAAAAAAAGTTCTGCATTCAAAATTACACCGAATACTTTCTGTAATGTATGACGCCTTCGCTGCATATTCATATTATTAATGTAAGGAAACGACGAGTTCAAATAATTCCACGCGCTCAGCTACTCCCACATAACTTCAATGACATCATATTGATGCTCATACCCTTTGAGAACTTCAACTAAGTTCATATTGATGCAGCTTAGGTTGTTCCGGGAAGAACTTATGCTTAAAAGCATCCCAAAGAGATTTGACATCATAATATTCGAAAAGTGCAGAAATAAAATTGCCAACAAGCATACATAAACTTAGCAAAGTAGATATATATATATATATTTATTTATATATATATGTGTGTGTGTGTGTACACATATGTATATACATAGTTGACGTCATTGCAAACCTTTGACATTAATGAACTCGAGTACTTTAGTATTTACCTACTTTCAGAAGTTGTGGCAGAACTTTTTAGGAAATGTACTAATTTGTCTACAAATAATATACAACGAAATTTGTTGCCTACGGCAGTGAAAGAAACTTTGATATAGTAAATTTCTACTATGTGGAATTGCAATTTATATTCATTAGTAAAAGAAATAATTTCAAGATAAATAAAAATTTAATATAATAAAATGTTATTTTCACCAACATTTATTACTCCAAATGAAGAAAATAGAAAAAAAATATGTTTAAATAAGAAAATTAAATAATACACACTTATTATAAAACAAATTCAAAGTTTTATTAGTTTGCATTAGGTGAGGTGCTGAAAAAATTATAAAAAAGTTTAATCAAAGTATTATATTTCTTTCATCTTTTTTAACTCTACAAAACTTCACGCTTCCCTTCCAGTACAATTCCATAAAACAATAGCCAAAATCGACTGTTGTTTGGCCTATAAACAAATCTGGCAAGCGGTGGCCTGTGAATAAACCTGAAAATAGTGGCGAAAAAAATATGCCTGCGAAAACAAACAAATGCGAAATATTTTTTCTATCAAATATAATATTTTCTCTTGCTTTAGCATGAACATTACGTATACGCCATGGCGTCCAGTGCCGTGGAAAATGCACACGACGTGTGGTGTTGTGGTGTTTATGTTAGTGTACGAAAATTGCCTTTGTTGACTCTTTTTCTTTTTCGTACATGGCAATTTGACTTTTAAAAATATGTACATATGTATATATGTATAAACACATTAATTCATATATTAAAAAATAAAAACAAAAGTGCTGCAAATGCATGCAGGCATTCCTTGACTAAATGTTGGAAGAAAAAAAATTTATAGAAATAATATATACATATATGAGTATGTATGTATTTATTTAATTACAAAAAAAAAATATTTGTATTATATTTTACAATGGTTACAATAAAAATTATTTTAAAGTTTTAAAATAAATTTCATATATTGGCAATGACGCAACGTACAGTGGACAAGAAAATTTTGATCTATGATAAACCAAAGATTTTTAATACGCTGAGTCTAACCAAGAAAAAAATGACTAACCTTTGAGACATTATTTGTTATATTCGCCATATACATTTTCATAAAGAAGACTGCTCTTTTCATTTCAGAGAAAAATGAAAGTAAATGCGCATAAAATGAACCAAACTTGGTGTAAATTGTATCCAACACAAGATGAAAGACCTGAGGGAACAAGACCAAGGGAAAAGGGAATACCCAAACGAAATGCTGCTCTTTACCGAAGGAGATCTCAAACTGGCGGCAAGAAAACCTAAACAAAAGAAGTAACCTGCTGGACCAGACGGCATACCAGCAGAAGTACAATGTTAAGATAGTAGCCGAAAATCGCCTAATCTTGCATGTCTTCAAGCTGAAAAGTAAATCCAGACAGTCCTTCAGCATACCGGCCTCTCTGCATGCTCGACACACCTGTAAAGATTTCTTATGCCTCGTATAGAAAAGGCCATTGTTAAGGAGGGTGGATTCTCACTTAGGCAATAGGGATTCAGGCCAAGTAAATCAACATCGCGGTGGCAATTGAGAATGTCATGAGGAGTGTGGTAGTAGATGTAAGGAATGCATTCCTTTTACATATTTTAGCTACTTAAAAGACAGTATTCTACTGTATAAAAATTCTGAAGGACCGCGATATTTAAAAGTATCCTCAGAAGCTATGCAGATCTCTGAAACAACAGTTACGACGGTATGTTGGGTCTCGAAATGCCCTATGGTGCATATCAAGTTGGCTACACAGATGGCATCGTTGCACGAGACACTGAGGAAAACTTTTGAGCCCTAAGAACACGTCAATTACTTGGGTGTAAGACTGAACTCAAGGCTTAGCTACAGAAAAAGCATATAAATCAGAATGATTCGATTCAGCATATTAATGGCCAGCTACGGAGGACTGACGCAGGAAAAGTGGAAGCACTTAACGTCCTGCTTTACGCAGAGTTATTGGCAGACTCTTTGAGGAAAAGCGAGATAAATCACAAGAAAAATTCTACTGCACAGCTGCTCTGAGGGTAGTCTGGATATACCGTACAGTACAGGCGAAGCTGTATTGGTAATAAGGAAGGGCTGCCAATGATTTGTTTGATCTGGTAAGAAAGAAAATGTGGCCGTTGAAGAAACAAGGAACAAATATTACGAGAACTAAAGAAGAAATAAAGTATGCAATAATAGCAAACTCGTTGGGAGCCACCATGGACACCATGACGATAAATATGAAACGACATCCTGAAGTAATGCGAAAGTGTTTCCGGGGTGGGAGACCGTTTCCTAGAAGATAGTTTTTAGGCACCTACCCGTTAAAAAAATAGAGCAAGTTTTTTTCACTTACAGCCGTCTTTGAAGTGACTAAATCTGGCTGTGTGAACTTTAGATAAATTTCAATTTGGATAATTTTTATACTGAGTTGTTTTAAACGAGAGTTGTTTTAAACGAGAGTTGTGGCGAAAACGGGGCGGATTTGCTGACAGTAAAAGAAAGCGGGTGTGAAATGTGTGGGTGCTCAGAATTGTGAGGGAGCTGGCCAACAGAGATGCTGTTTGAAAACTCTATGAGGAAATACGGCAATTTATAGAAGCTTTCAAAGCCGGAACATGCTCACGTAAGGCCTAAAGAGATGAGGTGGTGACCAATCACCAAAGAAATGAATTTATGAAAGAATAATTCTTCAGTGAAAGTGACACAACCGAAACTAGGGAGCGGGAATTCCCAATCAATGACGTTGGAACAGCCTTGCCTTACTCCTTTATCGAGAAGTACAAAGCACCAAAAGCTCCACTTTAGACTTGTAGTGTGTGTATTCTATTTATATTATTCGAGATGCAGCCAACATCAATAACAGACAAAGACCTTAAGCTGCTTCGAGAGCCCCTGAGTTACTGGCACAAAGAGGATCTGACTATAACTTACCCGGATTCGTCCGATTTACCCAACTTGCAATAAAATCCCGCACGACACTTACCGTCTCTGTACGTACACCCCTTTCCTTCTGGTCTGAAAATGTCGAAACAACTCGTTTCTTAGGATTTCTGTTCTATGACGCCATCGAATAATTTAGCTTGCTCCTAAGCGGAGTTAGCAGTGCTACAGGCATATTAAATTTTAAATTAATTTAAATATCACTGGAATTAAAATACTTATTCAAAAAATGGCTCCTGAAATTTCATGCCATATAAAAAAAATAAAAACTTGTCTGAGAGCAGCAACTTGTTTCCAAATTTAAACAACAGTTTCCATTTATCTTCCCATCATTCATCATATTTTCGATAAACTTAAAAATTCTAAAATTAAAAAATAGTTCAAAATCAAACTAAAATCGTTAAATTTTCGTTGCTTTGGCAGCACTTTTAAGCAAAAGACTTGGAGGCACTAGCACACGCATGCAGCCCACACCATCCACACAATTGGATTTTATTTGATAAGTTTTTGCGGCTTTTGTTTTGACTGCGGTTTGTTTGTGAAATCTTAGAAATTCTATAATTATGGCAACAAAAGGCGATGCAAGAAGTGAAACGGATCAAAAACACAAACGTAAATCAAATAGCACTTACAAATCTGCTAAAGAAACGAAAGAAGATGATGAAGCTGTCAACGGTAGCAGCCCAATGGACACATTTCAACAACAGGTATGTATCTATTTCCACATAAAATATTCAAATACAGATTCCCTTACATATTTTAGCAACAACAATAGGCATTGGAAATTCTTGAACCAGGACCAGACTTTGATCCAAAAGTTGCACCAAAAACTGGTGAGGAATATCTTACACATATGTTGTATGAACGCAAAGCTTGTCCGGCAGTTGTGGTAAAAAAGCCAAACAAGAATAGAACAGCTGCTGCACTAGTAGAGAATTTTAAGGACGAAAATGTAAGCGTATATTTTTTTTTTTTTTTTGACAATCAATTTTTAAATAATAAAATAATGTGTTAATTAATCATATCAGGCACCACTAAAAACAATCACATATCCCGGTATGCGGCCTACAAAGGAGTGGAAAGAATATCAAATTAAAGATTTTGATGATACACGTGAAAAAGTTTTACTTCTTCGTTTGGAATTGCATAGACAACGTTATGATCAAACATTAGAACCGCCTTTAACCGGCGATCCAATTGCATGGCGTAAATTTTGCCAAGAGAATCCACCACATCTGAAAACCATACTACGTTTTAGTCAACGTACTTTAGAGCAACTCTTGGAATTCATTTGCGATTGGTTACGTGGCGGTGAGGAACAAGAAATTTTGCAAAAAATTTCCGCAGAAGATCCAACGCCTTCAACTTCCGATGCTGCCAGCAATGATAATTTGTTTCCAACTTCAATAGATCTCACAGACGCCGAGTCATGGATGGGTACATGGCTCTATGCAACCTTATCCTGCCTACATCTACCCATAGAACCTGAGGTGCACAGTACGCTGCGTGACATAGCACGCGTGTGCATAAGACTACGTGGGCGCGTGCCAGCAGAAACAGCTGGCAAAGCGGTGCCTTATAATTTATTCATACTTTTGATCGCAAAGGCATTTGCACAAATGGATTTCGAAGAATTTGTGTAATGTGCCTAGCTCTATGGACATAGTCGTTAGCAAGTACAATGGAATTTTTTTTGAATATAATTACAAGCCGAGTTCATGCTCACACCAAAATGTTGCGAAATTAACAGTTTTAAGTTTTAATTTTCATATAAACTAAAATAAAAAAGTAATCCATATCATAAAATTATTTTATTTTGTATACTATACATGCACTTTTCAAATAATTTCAATAACTATTGTTAAATGTTATGAAAATACTTTTCTGTAAGATTGGCAAATTTCGCAATGGCGTTGGTGCTTGTCTGGTGCTGATATCGAAGAAATAGTGCAGACAGAATGACTGTGACGCGAGGGACTACTTACTCTCGTTATTTGGCTAAGGTTGTATGAACTACTACTGAAATTACTAGGAAAGAGTGAACAATATTTTATTATGATATTCGCAAGAATTGTTAGAAATCTTTACCTTGAACCAGCCGAAAGGCGACGTTCTGCAGTATGACGGGAGCCGGCATCCATTTCAAATAACTTATTGCTGCACTGAGCGCCTGAGTTTTCTCTTGAAAATCTTTAACCAAAAAAGTTTTAAACGCACATAGTGTATATATATATGCAACTTCGAACCTACCCGCCGTAAGTGTTTACTTTAGTGTGACAAACTGGTCTTTGCCGCCGTCTCTCTTCCAATTGACTAAAACAACTTCCAGCTGGCGATGACTGCTGTTGACTATGCCGATTCGGTGTATGTTTGGCTTCAAATTCGAGTTTATGCAAAGTTGCATCGTTAGCTGACTTCCTCGTATATTTTTGTTCTGCAGTGGACCCCGACAGGCGGTCCTGTACACCCACACGTGCACTTAGCTCAACTTTAGGCGCAATTATGCCCTTAAAAAAATTATGATAAATATTTTAAAAAAATATTGAATACTAAAAAATATATTCAAATCAAATTTGAGTTTAGCGAACATTTGCTTTTACTTACCGGAAATGCAGGTGTCGCCTTCATAAGCAATTGCACATTGATATTGTGTTCGCAAGTCAATTTTGGTACATCCGTTTGCATAACGTCGGCCAGTTTACCCATAAAGAATGCCATACGACGGCCATTCTGCCAAAGTGTTACCTCCATTTGCTCCGCGGCCAACACACGTTCCAGATCACTTAGCGAACCAACTGACTTGAAATAACCCTCCATTTTGAATTTATCATGGCAGAGTAGTGGAAAACGTGGTTCCATTGCACCTGTGCGAAAAAAGTAACCCAACGTTTTAATAGTCAACTCCAGATAGCCATGTGTGCACAACCAGACGCCGGGGCATGTAACCTTAAATGGTGGATAAACATACAATAGTTTATAAAACTAAAATTTCTCGGCTACTCAAGGTGTTTTATATCCACAAATCCACTTACCGCATGTAATTGTATTTCTATTTTAACAAAAAAACGTTTGTGAAACATTTTTCAAAATAATAAAGTTGAGTGTTTTAAGAATTTATGTATACAAAAATGAATATTTTCTGTTTAGCTTTTGTGTGAGCGTCCTTGAAAATGCCAAAAGCAAATGGTTAAGCAAGTGGATACATTTGTTAGTGTTGACAACAACGGTATGTAGAGTTGGGGTCATTGTGAGCGACTCCATTGGTTTTCCCTGAAGTGCAAGTGTTTTTATTTCCATATTCTTTTGGTTTTGTTTTGCCGGTGAATTTGAAAATAGCATTTTGTTGGTTGCTAATCAGTGGTTGCTAACGGTATTTTCTAAGTTTTACATATACATATACATATAAGCGTGCATGGAAAAATAGAGGAAACATTGCTACCAACAGCAAGTACAGGCCACTGTCACTCCCGCAACATTCTCCAACAGGATACTGAGGCACGTCTTATTAGTTTAAAAGTTATTATTTTTGACAGATTTAATTATAAAACACGTAATTAATTGACTTTATTTGAGCACTTCAAACAGGGCTAAAAATTATATGCGTTGCGTTTTTACCGACATTCAAGATTTTGAGGTTATGTGCTTTGAAGTAACACTTTCAAGTTAGGGCATATTTTAATATCCTGTATACGGCAGAGTTTATTGAAATATACACTTTTTTCAAAAATAAATTTTTTAATACAAATTTAAGCGCAGATAAGAGCTACTAAAAAGCAAAAAATATGAATTATATACGTAGTTTCACTAAAGACTAGCACAATTCCCAGTATCAAAATTTTGAAATAACAATTTAGCAACTAATTTCGGCAACACCACGTCCTCATATATTCTTTTTGTATTCTTAAAGCAGGGAAATTAGAGAGTTTTCTTTTGCAGGTAAAAATTGCATGTATCTCTTTAACTTTTTTTATACTTGCAGTAAATTTTATGTTTGTTATGTATGTATATGTTGCATGCAACTAAGTAAACATAAAACAACAAAATCATTAGAAATTCCATCTTACTATTTACACTTGCTTTCCACCGGACACGTAACAGTGCGACACCACCTTTCACAAGTAACTGAATTTTCTTATTGTATTGAAACTATCACCAAATAGTTGTTTTGGAAGTAGCAGAGCTCCAAATGGTATACACAAGACACTACAGCATATACATATGTATGTACATCGTGATACCATATTCTTAGCACAAAAACTTTAACAAGCCGATAAAGCATTTAATATTACCCAAAAGTCTAGCTGCAAAACACTACTCACTACTATGGGGCGAATGGTCAGCAAAATAAGGGTGGACTTAAAGTATGGGAATTATGCCTACAACAAAATAGCATAAGTTATGCTGATTGGGGTCATGCGCCAAAGTACATATATACGTATACATATGTGGTAGCGTTTTAAGAGTTATTAAATGCAACGATAACCAACATACATAGAGAAATACATAACTATAAAAAATTATACTATTCGGAGTATATAATACATAATATAACAATATATATACAGAGTGTAAAATTTTACGAAATTCTGCTTTATCTATTATCAGTTGGTTCATTTGTTTAAAAATAAGTAGACTTAACAGTTAAAATATAAGTACTGCACCGAGGTTTATGAAACAGATTTAGAAAAATTATTCAATTATTTTTTAAATATAAAATATAACTAATTTTTCTCTTTCATTTTGGAAGGTCCTCACATTTTTGTATACAAGCATTCATTGCTTTCCAATTAGACTTCCTCCTCGCTATGAGATTGATTCCAACTCATTGGGATTCGTTTTCATTATGCAATTAGTAAATAAACGTTTCCAAAACCGAGTGTTTAAGTCATTTGTTAAGTAATTAGTAATTTAAGTCATAATATATTTGCTGCAACTATACCTCGAAATTTCCTTTTTTAATTACTCAGCACTTTTCATTTTACACTCATTTGTATTTAAAATCTTCTACTAGTATCCGCGTTCCGTCTAGTAAGAAAAAGAATTAAAACTCAATTCACTAAAACAACAATTAAATTTTACAACGATTTTATGAGCATCAACACAGGCTCTTTTTATTGATTCTTGATAATTTTTGCCCCAACTTAATTAATTTTATCGAGTTTTATAACTATGTAGTTGATTTTCACAGTTCTATGCTTTAAATATTCTTATTAGTATTCCATATATATATATATAATTTTCACTTTTCACTGTTTATAAAATGATATTCTAAATAATTACTACTTCATGTCTTACCACTAAGTATAAATTGTGCACAACTCATCTGCTTTTTAAGTGTTCATAATCTTTAAATCGCTGCATTATCTTACAAACTTAGCTCTGTATTTCGAACTTACTTGCAGTAATGCTTTGATGTAAATATGTATGTGTATGCTTATTCATTTGAAGATATTGGAGTTCATTCGCTTTTATGTAGGTTTGTAAAATAGGAATAAAATTCACAGATAGCCGATCGATTTTAAATTTAAACACATTACAGCTTCATTACATCCCATTCTTCGTCCAAATAGTGTAGTATAGGTTTTTTATGCAAACGTTCGCCAAAAACTTCACGTAAAATTTTCAATACACGCGCCAAAATGAGATCTACTTGCTGTCTGGGGCAGTAATCATCTTCAGCCGAACATGCTATTGTAATTAGCACTGGTGGTATGGGTAACTTTTGTAAAAACTGTTTAAATTGACCGAAATATTGTTCCAATTCCTCGCTGGTGCTGATATGATGTGGCAAGCCGTTAGCGTCTGTTGTGCTGCCCGAATCATATATAAGCAGCCAGTCAATCTCATCATCGGCATAATGTTTTTGTAACGATTTTACGAGATTATCAATACGTGTGTAGATCTCCGGTGTAATAATATTGGGATCAGGTGCAGGTGAAAGCACTTCCAGATTTCTCTTCTCTTCTAATTGTTCAAATATATTCTTAAGAGCTTCAAGTTGTAGTTTACGACGCGCTGTTGTGTCGCCGCAATCATCAGTATTTATGTGGTAACGGAAGATATCGGTGAGTTGTTCGTAGCAGTTTGCATCTTTATATATTTCTAGAAATGGATTGGAAGTGCTAAAGAAATCCAAGTCGATGTCTAAAACAAAATTTGGTGCATCTGTAGGTTTTAGAAATTGCGTAGGATCGATGGGTGCACTATCGAGGGTAGTGTCAACATCAAACACTTGCAGTTCCATATCACGAGCTTCTTGCAACTCTTTTGTTTCAACATAGTTACCCTCGGATATGAAATAGTCAATTGGACAGTCAACACTTATTTTATCGTTTTTATTTCCAATTTTAAAGTTGTATTTACCGTTGGGAATTTGTTGGCACCATGAGTTTTTCAACCACACGATTCTATTAAAGTGACCTTAAAGGTATAGAGATAAAAATAGTTATTTCAATTAAGGAAAATAATGTTTACATACCTGCATAACAAGCCGGCATTATCCAATTTTCAATACTAAGTTCAGCCAACATAGTTTCCTTGTCGAAGGATGCACTTGCGGGTATCTCACGCGATATGACCATGTCGGGGTGGGAATCAAAATGTATCATTATATTATTTGCAAGTGGCAAATGACGTGTTGCCAGAGAACGATATATAAATTCCAATACATCATTGTGATAATCAGCTACGAAAATTGGTATGCGTTGGAATTTACGCGGGTGGGCACTTTTCAAGGCTGCTTCTTCAAAATTGAAGTGTTTAGATTTACTTAAGGTTTGTGCAGTTTTATCTGGTATGGTGCCAGCTAAAGAAGTTGTAGAGATATTGCTTAAACTAATTTCATCGTCCTCAGCTTTACTTGAACTTTCGTTCACTAAATTTTCAGTTTTATTCCGCTTTAAAGGCGGCTCTTCCTCTGTCTCCGCATCATCATCATCTTCAATCGATACTTTTACATTACTCTTTTCAACTGTTGTAGTTGTATTTTCCGTTGACACGCTTTCACTTGCCGCCGTCACCGTTGCAGACGATGATTCTACCAAACCATCATTAGCGTCCACTTCTCCTGGTACGGATACAACATTTTGCTCACTTACATTTGCTTCCATTTTCGAATATCCACTTTAAATATAATTACAACGCAAATATCTTTTGAAATTATTCTTTTGTTTTCTTTATTGAACTAGACTGAAAAGTGCTTTGAACTTTATTTTCTCTGCTCTTGCTCTTTGAATATGAAAGTAGCGAATATTGGCGAAAAGTCAACGACTGTTTTGCGCTTTTTCTTATCTTCTTCTTGTTCTCAGTAGTGTAGGCATTCACAACGGGAAAGTGGCTTGCGCAAGCTCTGCACTGTGATTCCGAATTTTAAGCGTAATAAATAAGAGAAACTTAGTTTACGATGCAAAAAATAATTTTTAATCTGATAGTGAAAGATATAATTACTCGTGCATTCAATCGTTCCCAGCAGCAAATCAGCATGACTTTCACAAGTTGTACAGCACCTCAACGGCACTTAGCACCACAGGCACCAAGTTAGTACATGGCCTTAATTAAAATTGACACTGCGCGTGCACTATTCGAGTACTACTGAATCCGGTAAGTTAATCACGCATTACTATTTTGTATCGAGCCATCCTCATTATAGCCGGGGCTAAAGAAATGGACCTTGAGCTACCTGAGTGGCCGACAGGCTTTTCGAGGCCAAACTTTGAAACTCTGAGAAATTTAACAAAGGACTATGTAGGAAGCTGTCTCGACCCCTTGACGTCGTTAACCTGAACTTACATGCCGAAAATTACTTGAAATTTGGGTGTCGCCAGGATGTTGATTATCTTTGTTCGAAAGTAAAATGTTATTTCGCCGATCTCATACGCTCTCCCCACCAAATGAAAGAAGGAGTACCGTGGACGTTAAAAGTTTGATAAAATATAACCCTAAGCCGCTAGGAGTTACTATCGACAGACAGTCTGCATTCCTTCAGTGCGTATACGACGGTGACCACCACCCATAGGGGATGAAGATCTGGATACACTCATTTTTATTTATTCAGACTTAACTCCAATATTCTTAGCGTTTGTCTTGCTTTCATGCACGATATCAGCAAACTCTTTATAACCCACTAAAACGATTTTATTTAGCACCTCTCTGGCACTGATCCGACCCCGCCGAAACAGCTCACTCTCCGAATTTCACAATAGATGACCTCGGTGACATATACGGACTGTGCCCATCTGAAAAAGCAACAAAACTGTGCGAGCCGATAGTCTACGGGTTGAGCTGTTCAGATATGGTGGAAAAGAGTAAATAAAGTGCAGGCATCAGTCTATTGTAATATTGAAACTTAAGTGTGCTCTGCCCAATCCACAACAAATCAGACCCCACAGCCAAGGAACTCATCGGATCAGTACCAATGTCAGTTCAGACCTGGTAAAAGCAATATGGATCAGACTTTCATCATGTGACAAGAGAGAGAGAGTGGAAGAGCCACTTGAGAAAAGCTCTCTTCGAACTCCTTCTAAGCGTGGTTTCAGGTAAAGTAAGTTCTACTGGTGTGACTATTTTTAATTTATTGTCAGAAATAATAACAGAAGGTGCTGATCTCAATAGAGAATCCACTATCTCCAAGTGCGTAAAACTTCTGGTATGTGCCGATGATAGAGACCAAATTTTTAAAGTGCGGAGGACTGGATGATGACAGTAACCGCTGAGTCGGCTCTCTCGAAAGATTTCGAAGAAGTTCTATACGCATTGGTTAAGCGCTGAGCTACAAAATCTTTAACACCCAATGAAGCAACAGCATTGGCCACTTCTCGAAATGTTGTTGAACATTTTCTTTTGATAACCACAAACCCCCGAATTTCACGCCGATTATAGGCGATTTTTTGGAAAGTTATCGAAAGATTGGAGCTAAAATGTCTCTAACGACACATTCCCAATTCGATTTTTCCCCCGAAAATGTCGGCGTTACGAGCGACAAGGATATTGGGAAGAATGCACGAAGAGCGATTACTGTTGGGTCATAAAACGTGAAGCAGATACCAGCCAATACAAAGAACTCAGTTTAGAGTTGTTACATTTAATTTGGCGACGACCGTGGTACGAGACCTGGTCAAACCAGACATCCGGTCGCCCCTTGGCAGGGAATGTTCTTCCATTTGGTGGAATTCTGCTTCGGATTTAGCGCCATAAGTTATCATTTGTTGCTTAGGTCCAAAATCGTGTATATTTCTGATATTGATTTGTTCCAAAGAAGGCTGGTCAGGCCATGTTGTTTAATCCGAAGTATTTCTGCCTGTGATTTGGATAGTAGAAGCCTATTAAAAATTAATATTAACTATGGACTTATGTCTGAACTAACCCGACTTTGTGGTTCATTGATTTATGCAATAAGAGTGCACAGAAATGAATCGAGTCACGAAAAGTAATTATAAAATTTATTTTATTTAAGTCGTAGTTAATTAATTTTCAATTTAAAGGGTGCTTTTTTTATACGTGTGGTTTTCAGTGAGGCAGATTTATACACATTTTGGCTCTCCATTTCATAATGAAAAGACTTGCTCCGGAACAACGTTAGTAACTCGAGCAACTGTGGGTCAGTTTCACACCACATTTACTCTAGCGGAGAATGCGTTATTGCTGTTGTGTATCGTAGAAGACTCGAATGAGCTCAACCGCCACTGTGCGCCACATTTAGAGCCGAGTCCATGCACTCTATGCAAGATTATGCCGAAGGATCCTGGCTTGCGGGTTTACAAAATTTACCTAGAGCGTGAATTGAAGCCGTGCGATCGTCAAGCGCGTTGTACGTTCGGTGTATAGATCCAATGAGTTCCGATTTTCACAAGAACATTTTTTTTCAGCAGTGAAGCTTCACAAAGAAAATTTTCTCATTCGGAGTTATGATAATCCACAAGCCATTATTGTTTAGACGTCGGGTTGTTAGGCGTGTTCTATGGACAGAGGCAATCATTGTTCCATATTCCTTTCAAAATGAAGACGGCCATAATAATACAGTCTATGAGGAACACTTTAGGGCTGTGATTAAAGACTTTTTCGTGTCTAAATTGTAGGACGTTAATGTGTATGATCTTTGGTTGCAAGAAGATGGTGCTACATACCATACAGCCAATCATTTTATGGAGGGGCAGCTTTTGCTGAGTACAATATCTCGTGTAGTGAGCCGTTGTCGTGGCTTCTAAGATCGTGCGATTTAACATCGCTGGACTATTTTTTGGTGGGGTTATGGAAAATTGTTTGTCTTGGCAGATAAGCCCGAGACGATGCACGTCTTGTAAGAGAATATGTGGCGCGTTTTTGCTGATATGTTGGCTGAGTGCATAAGTTCGTGCCCGATTCCGCTAGATGCCGTTCGAATCGTTTGAGAGTAACGCTCGTCAAAGAAATATATGCACATTATATATCATTGGAAAGGTGACAGTCCGAATTGTAAATCAAGCATAAAATAACTTCATTTTAATTTGAGTTGCTTAGTGAAAAGACGCATGGAAGATGGACAACGAAAAAGATCATATGCGTCATATTATATTATACGAATTCCGCAAAGTAAAAACAGTAGGCGCTGCAACTAAAGATATTCGCGAAGTTTATTTAGACCGTGCTCCAGCGCTCCGCACAGTAAAGAAATTTCGTTCTGGAGTTGAGTGAAAAAAACAAAGTGGACCGTATGTCAACAGCACTTTCTTTGCTTCGACGGATCAAAAACGAACCTTTTTTGGATCGGCTCGTGACTGGTGATGAAAAATGGATCCTGTATAACAATGTTCAACGCAAAAGAACATGGAAACAGGCACACGAAGGGGCGGAACCGATGTCGAAAGGTGGATTGCATCCGATGAAGGTACTGCTGTGCATTTTTGGCCAAACTGAAGGAGATGAATTGGGAAATCATGCCGCATCCCCCATATTCACCCGACATTGCACCGTCTGTTTATCATTTGTTTCGATGGCTGCAGAATAATTTGAATGGAAAAAAATTTAAAAATGTGGAAAACGTCAAAAACCACCTTGACAACTTTTTCAAAGAGAAACCGCGCGATTTCTATGAATCAGGCATCCGTAAATTGGTTGAACGTTGGGAGTGGATTGCCGAACGTGATGGCGAATACATAATTGATTAATAAAAGCGCTTTCTTCAAAATATTTCAATTTTAGTTTGCACTTCAAATCGGGCACGAACTTATGCACTCAGCCAATACTTTCCCCAAATGCTGCAAAAAATGGTCGGAAATTATCATTCATCATTTTAAGAAAATAATGGCAAGCCCATATCTACATAATAAAGTTAAATTCTTCTCGAAAATCACATGTCTAAAAAAAGCACACTTTACTTTAGTAATTTAGAATAATTTAACGGTCTACACGTGATGACCATTTATATACAATTATTTTAGGTAATCAGAACCATTTTAAATCAATGTACGCAAATATGTAAACAAAAACAAAAGTTAATGCAAATTTGCAATTGCCAAAAAGTCAGTCTCAATTTCGATTTCATTGCATCAAAATGTTTTCACTGAAATGTTTTGCAATTATCATAGCGCTTTATATCCTCACTCAGCTTACGCCGCCACTTGTTGCCTACGTGTATGTAAAGTTTACGAATATCAAGTGCGTGTCCTATGATAAAGCTTTCGCCGATTTTCGCTATTGCAAACTGAAAGCTTTGTCACCCAATAAAGTTGCACTCTTCTTGCATGTGCAGCTCTTCCAGTTGCCGGTGAATAATGTCAGTATCAATCTGGACGTTTATCGGAAGGCGAACGGTTATCGTCCATTTCTGTTCAATAAAACATCGGATTTCTGTCAATTTCTTAGGAATCCAAAGAGAATACCACTGGGAAAAATCCTTATGGACATCATAGCTATGTATTCCAACATCAATCACACCTGCCCGTACAATGTGAGAGTCGCAGTGTCGAAATCATTCATAAGAATTTTCAAAATTTTAAATGTAATCCCTCTTTTCCCATTTCATTTTCAGCATGATATCATCGTTAAGGATTTCATATTAACCACTCAGCACGTGCAGCTGTTACCGGTGCCCACGGGTGATTACCTCTTGAGAATATCTGTTGGTGCATATAATGAGTTTAAAGCTACGGTCAGTGCATACGTGCAGAGGGTGGAGGATTAGGATTTGGTTGACTAAAAATATGGGTCTTAGTAGTGAGAGGAAATGCTTTGCATAATTTTGTTTGTGAGCTTTGGAGTTTTTTTTATCAATAAATCAATAAATATCATTTCTACAAATGTTTTTAAAATTCTCTTTCTATAGCCGTGATCATAAGAGCGCGTCAGTCATTGCACGAAGTAGATCCAGGTCCTACTGGTAATTTCAAGGAAGTGAAAAGGATGAGCTTCCACCAGCGGGTAAAGCTTCGAATACTTTCAAGACTGAAGCATTTTCTACCATACAGACGATATGACGTCTGCCCAAGTCGTAGTACTTAGCGCTGTCTCTTAATTCGCAGAAATATGTCAATGTCGCCGTTCATCTCACGCAACTCATCACCTACGATAATCACCCTAGTACGCAAGGGAAAATAAATCTTAGGTAAAACCTATGCCGAAGATAGGACGACAGTTGTACGCCCTTTTAGAGGATTGTACCTTTTCTGTTTAGTTCTTCAGCTCCAATTATTTACTCCAGCATTAAATTAAATTTGGTTCCGAACGGCTCAGAGTGGTGCTTTCTGACTGTTCAGTGCCAGTTTATATAGACGTACCAGATTGGTGGGGACACCAAATTCAGTAATAACTCGCCTTAGAAGCAGGCTAGGTTAGATCGGGGCGTTTTCTAACAAAAGGTGCATGAAACGATTGGTTAGGACCAATGAAAAGGGGTAAGCCCCCATTGTAGTTGAGTAGATTTTCATCGCCAGCAGGGCATACGTTAGGTATGCCAGGGTCAAGTGTAAACTAGTACAAGTTAAATGTACTACAATATCCAGACATAGGTTAGGTTAGGTTAAATTCCGGTGGCTACCGATCTTTCGAGTCGGATTCACCTAACTCTGACTAAGACCCATTGTGACACCACAAAAACTTAAAACATCACGTCTCGTCATCCATTCATTTTGATTCTCTAATGAATCTCATTAGTTGCATGACTCTGAAATTAACTATTTTCGGTAGACCATCCGGCAGTGAGGTCCCAAAATTACAAAACCTCGCCCTGCTCAAAGGAAAATAGTCGCATAAGATATAGCTTATCGTCTACTCCTCTTCATCTTCCTTGTAGCTTCTGCAGCATTTCCCCTAGAGAATCCCCTAGTCTTTCCGCGCATCGTTCTATCACAGAGTGAGCTATCGGAACACCTATTACTTTGGGCATGCCACCTCTTTTTAATGACTACATATCTCGTGATCTCTTCTTATCCCATTTCGGTCAGGTGTGCCTGGTTTTGCGTCAGGTTGTAATGTCATTCCACCTTGTAGAGGTTTCTGCATATATGAATTCCTCGGGACTGCATGTAGCAAAAGGCATACCAATGCCTCCTTTATCGAGAAGGATCTGATTAGTAGTAAATCGCTCATCAAGTTCATCGGCCTTACAGTTTCTCTCGATGTCCCTGTGACCAGGTAACTACAGCCTGTTCTATTTGGCTTACTTCTGTATAGATCCAGATCTAAGTTGTGCCAATATTACGCGGGTTGCTCGAGCCCATCGTCTGAAATAGGTGGTGAGCTGACTCCTAGAACAGAGAGAGTTGAGCAAGATGTTGACGTTCTGCCCAACGGCTGTTGTATGTGGTGCTCATGCAGTTCTTAAGGTCGAGTACTCCCTCTTTGAGGTGCCTGGGTGGTGGCTCGGTTTCTAATATCTGTTGGGATGTTCCCTGGATGTCAACAAAGTAGTTGGTTAGATTTTTTTTAACTGAATTTGGTATTATAGTTAAACATATTTTGGAGCCCGGCTAAGTCGATGAACTTCAGCGTATTGAAGGAAGCCTTGTCATGCAGACTGAATTTTCCAACTGTGGGGCCTTCTTTCTTCACCGTGACGTTAAAGTCACCAAACACTATTTCGATGCTGAGACGGGCAGCGCTCAGCGTTCTAATTATTGTTGTTATATTCACCAAAGTTGTTTTTGGGGAATATTGCGTGAGCTAGAGTTTTTGGTCGGATACAAATCCGGTTCGTGCCGGTAAAATCAGACTGTCTTATGTGAAGTATGCCTTATCGCGGGAAAATCCTTGAATCCCTACCCTGCACGGGACAAAGCATATTTTTTTTTACATAGTCCCTCTCTTCCTGCCGGGCGTGTGCGCAATAATTTAAAGAAATTTGTCTCAATGCGGGTAAAATGTCAGGACTCGGCGACTGAGTCTCTTTCCAACCTCGAATCCGGCACTAACTTGTCACGTTTTTGTCGCTTTCACAAGCACCTACTAGTCTCCGTCCGTGTACTGTCCATAGAATTTCTAATTAATAATCTTAATTATGGTTCCAACTATAATCCTCAAGGAGTTTACAGTGGTTGCCCTCGAAACTGGAAATTCTCAACTGACGTCCTTTTTCCAATTTTCTCTTAGATGCGGGTTTTTAAGCGGCGGGTCCGAAACGCAACGCACAACCTCGCTCAACCGAAAGGTTTTTTTTTTCGTGCTAATAGATTAAGCCTATTTTTCGAAATCAATTGGAGCCATCAAAGATACGGTCTCACAAATAAAATTATGTCTCATTATACTTAATAGCGCATTAATTACATTAATTGCCTAGCAATTAACTACTTAATACAATTAAAGAGAAAATTTAATATTTTTTGGGCATTATTTCCGTTGCGGCTTTTTATTTTTTCACCGTAAGCGATTACCTCACCAACAAGTGCTCCCTTAGTCGTGTCGTCGAAATGTGTTTCTTATTGAAAATAAAACTTATTTTTGCATTCTGCTTAGCTATGCAGATACCGTTGATTGCTGCTTATATAAAATTTACTAATATCAAATGTATTGCATTGGACAAAAGCTTCGTGGCATTTCCTCAATGCGAACTAAAAGCTCTATCGCGTAATCAAGCTGCGCTCTCGATGATTACTAAACTCTCTCAGTTGCCTGTAGAGAATATAATTTTGAATTTGGATCTTTATAAAAGAGCAAATGGGTATCGTCCTTTCATGTATAACCTAACAATGGATTTTTGCCAATTTATGAGAAATAAAAAGCGTATACCGTTCGTTAAGCTGTTAATGGATACTTTGGAATTGTATTCGAATCTCAATCACAGCTGTCCATTTGATGTACGTACGGGTGCTTTGCACTTGCTCAAAGTGAAAAATATTATATTAACTGAAAAAAATTAATTTCAATCCTTTATTAATTTATTTATGCATATTTTCAGCATAATATTATTATAAAGGATATGGTACTTAAAGCGGAAAGTATGAAATATCTGCCGGCACCGAACGGTGATTACCTGTTCATAAGTACATTCGGTACAAACAAGGATTGGAAGTTGAAGATTAAAACATATATACAAATTATGGAAAAATGAAAATACTTATGAAAATATATGCATATATATATATATAGATATACTCATATGTATGTACCTGCTTAAAATTAACTCAAATATGACACGAGTGTAATTTTCGCTTGCGACTTATTGTATTGTTGTTTGTATATTGGTGTAGTAAAAAGAAATCCATTATTTTTCCAATAGTTGGCGTTATTTCTCTGTATCCTGTTGTATAAGCCCGTTCAGGCTCCGTTAGATGGCATTAGAAAGATGACATTTCGCACTTAAAAAAAGCTTCTCTGACAGTTTTGTGATTGGTTGCGCCAGTTTTGCTTGAGCGTGTGTCAAAAATGGACTCTAGCAAAGAGAGAATACGCTATATGTTGCAGATTTTCTTCGACGAGGGCGAAAACGCAAGCCAGGCGGATGCCATATAGTCCTTATGCTGTAACAGTGAGTTGGGCACAATTTCGGTATCATTCCGGTAATTTAGATGTAAAAAATGCTTCACGGAGTGGTAGGCCAATTTGACAAGGTGGAGCCCGATCGTCATGTAAGCACTGTTTCGATTGCCCAAGAGCTAAGGATTGCACAAAAACCAAATTTCAGTAAGGCTGGATACGGAAGGAAAAAGTATACCGTTAAATTTTAGGCAAAAATAATGGATTTCTTTTTACTACACCTAAGGTATGTCGATGATCTTTTCACGGTTCTTTTCTAAGATTTTAATAAGGTCCCATCTTGTGTTGATGATAGGATAGGTCGCGCTCCATTTTCACTGCCATTCAGCAGTCTGGAGAAGTGTTCCTTCTATAAATTGAATACACTCTATATCACCTTCCTTGGTCCTACAAGAGTTGTTCAGGAATGCTCTCAGTGGGACGGAGTTCAAGTAGCGTAAAAAACCGTTCGGCTGTCGTCCTTCTCATACGTCGTGGTTTGCGCCCAAATCAACGATATGGAAGGCCAGTACTCAACGACAGAGCCTCTCTCTTACCACAAATATGACACCAAATTTGCGCACCATCGTATTGCTTAGACGGCTATAATGTCTGCCTTTAGTCTTTGGGTGACATCAATTTCTTAGTTAGGAGATCGAACATTCCAGGTGAATGTTCCATGATTATACAATAGTTCATAAAAGACTTGCAGTGCTCATCAAAAGAGAGGTCTCACATACGAGTCGCTGTTGGACTTTACATTGTGATGAGACTGATTCCATAAAAAACGTATATTTCAAAATTATTCTACAACTCTGTCATCCCTTTCGGCAGCTATACCACGATTCCAGTGCGTTTTCAATGCTTCGTAACATTTCTGGAACGCTTCAAATGGGATGCCCGCGAGTAGCCTCTCACTGCCGCCTGGATGTCTTCAATCGACTCAAAGTGGGTTCCTTTGACCACCGATTTTGTTCTTCTAGGGAACAAAATAGTCACAGGGGGACATATCGGGCGAATAAGGCGGCTGTTGCAGCACGATGATACCGGAACACGTTGAGGATGAGTTACAGTTACAAGCGATGTCCGGGCTCACCCTGTTGATTCGTTTTCGAGTACTTGGCGACGGTTGGCCACCATGGGAGAAATTCTTTATGGACGATTCCACGGCTATCAAAAAAGTCTATATCCATCGGTTTCACCTTCGACTTGCTCATGCGAGCTTTTTTAAACTCTTTAAGCCATCGAAACATCAGTGCACGACTAAAAGCACTATCACCATGTACTTTTACAATTTTAGCCTATGTTTCCGAAGCTGTTTCGCCCAATTTGGCGCAAAATTTTATCGCAACGCGTTGCTCCTGATTTCGTTTTTTCATTTTCGTGACGAGCACCACGAACACACATTTACTCAACATGACACAGCACGCGAACTAAACAAGCTAGAGCGATGGCAAATATATCAATGGAGAGGAGAAGGATGCCGGGAGAAAGGAAAGGGAATTTCAAGGTGGCAGGGCTACCACAATCGCAGCAATATAATCAGTCTCATTACTTTATTGTCACACCTCAATCGTGGCGGGTCCCGAACTCAGCGCCAAGCTCGCTAGGTGAGTACGTTTAAATGTTGTTCACATTTATGTAACGAGCATTTTGCTTCAAGACCGGCATCCACTCGCAGCCACACCTCTGGTGAACAGACGCTGTAATTAGACTTCTCACGCTTCCAGGGTACGCAACGCGAACGGAAGGAAAGGAAATTAAGCATAACTTGGCGCAGTTACTGCCTTCCCAGAAGCTTGACTATACCCCAGTCCACCCCACTCAGGTCCATCGCTGCAAAAGTCGTTGTAAGACTCAAGAAGTCTGGGTTATTGGTTGGCTCAAACGTGCGGTACTCTGCTGCCTTTGAGTGGCTAGAAATCTTCTGCAGTTACTTGGCATATGCGAGTACTCGTATCATCTCCCAGCTAATGCTGAGTCGCTCCTTTTCTACGATAATTCCTTAAAGCGAGTACTGGAAGGCAGAGAGTAACTGAAGAAATAGAAAACTTAACTTCATTGCGGATGGGTCAAGTTTGACGGAAGGTTCAGTGCGGGATTCTTCCGTTAAGAATTACTATGGAAGATTTATGATTCCAGGTCAGGCCATGCTTTTAGTTGAATGGAGGCGATGGATACACTGCTTCTTTGAGACGAGGCAACATTTACATAGATAGTCAATCAGCTATTACAATCTTGGGCTTACTCTAGATGAACTGTAAATTTGTGAAAGTGAATTGTTTTTATCTTTGTCCATAGCGTGGTTAACAGGCCAAAGCGGAGAAGCTGCAAGCTGCACTGCTAATGAGATGAGCTTGCACATATGAGCAACAAGTCCCTTTAATGTCAGATAAAACGGAGATGGTCCCTCCTATGTCAACTTGAGATCTGATTCTAGACTGGTTGGGT